TCTAGTGAAATTTTTGAGCTGGCTCTAATTTGATTGTTTAGAGCCTCGGCTCTATATAAACTTTTCCCTCTAATTTGATTGTTTAGAGCCTCGGCTCTATATAAACTTTTCCCTTAAAAGTATCTAAACCCTCTGCCAAAAACGTCCAAGAACAAATTAATAAAAAAATAAGAATTTTTAAAAAAGAAAAATGTAAAATTAAAAATATAAATTCATAAAATACAAAACAAATAATTCACTTCATCTATCTATTAAGACATTTCAATCAAAATCAAAATCAAAATCAATAAATAAAATAAAAAAAAATTCACAAAAATAGGAAGGTAAAAAATAGTGAAGAAAAATAGCAAAAATGTATCTTGCAAATTTTTTGTTTTAATTCAAAAATTTTGCTAGGGCTTTGTAGACGACTATATTAAGAACATGTTAGGATGAATTTGAAGAAGTGTAATGAAACACCGTTGGAGAAATCAAGATTTTCTATATCAGTTAAAAAAAGGTCGAAAAGTCACAATCCATATCTCTTTAAAAAAACTTAGGGTTTGATAAGAGGGATAAAAAAAGTACTAATTTGAAACAAATATCGAACGTTTTGGTGCATCATTATTCCATGCCAAATCAGCAAATGTGGATTAGGTTTCAAGAATACTGAAAAAAAAGAAACCGAACTTTAATCTTCAAGTTCCATAAAATTTTACGTCATTATTGCAAAAACTTCTTTAAAGTCAATGTAGATCAGTAATACAAAAACATATTGGAAAGGTTGAGAGATTTTCATGAAATACTGAGAGAGAAATCCAATTTTCCTAATTGGGTTTAAAAATAAATAAATAAAAAGCTACCCAGCCTGCGCAGCCGATTCTAAGAGACTCAACCCTTCACTTCTAAGTCGACTCGGCAAATTTTAATGCCTAGTCTAAGCTATCAAACTGCCCCTAATTAATTAGGGTTATTAATCCTCGGCAATTTACTTATTTTTAGAATTTTATGAGGAGGTAACACATTGAAATGAATGTTAAAGATTAACCTATGTTAAATTGATTATTTGACCTATAATGGTTTTGCAAGGGGTTTTGTTCCCATTAGCAAGTCTCCATTTAAAAGACGATTTTTTAAAAAAATCTTTGACTTTTTGAAATCCGTCAAGAATTCTTGAATTTTTTTAAAATTTTTCAAAAAATTGCATTTTTTTTAATGAAACTGATACTTTTAAAACTTTACAAACTTCTACCAGTCTCTCATATAGCTTGGTCAAACCAAGCCAAGCCTGAGAATTAGTTGTGAGTTGTATTTTGAATTTATTTATGCTGGGCCCCAATGGGTATATTAGATGGCCTAACTTCCCAGTTTCATCTTGTGGGGCTTATACCTTCACTTAACCGTTTTTCTCAGCTTTTCTCAAACTTCCCAAAATTGAGGTTGAAAACGCCTTTCATAAGTGTCACCCATCGACCCTTCGGCCTACTCTTCACGACTCCAAGATGAAAGAGATTTGCTAAATTTCTTTTAACATCCACTTCTAAAAAATCTTTGCCCACTTTAGTAACTGAGCACGAGAGCCACACCACATACAATATTTTCTCTAAAATTCTCTCAACAAGAAGGCCGATACCGTAAAAAACTCTTCGATTTTTTTCCTTCCAAACTTCCTATAAAATTGTGCTCCTAGCAATCTGCCAAAAAGCACTCCAGTTCTAAGTAACCAAATCACAAACAAGTTTGAAATTACCCCAATCACATTCGCAGGCATAACCATAGAGATCGCCAATTTATCAAAAAACTACCGCCAAATTCTTAAAATAAAAGAGCAATGGAGAAATAAATGAGGTCCTGTTTCTACATCACTCTTACACAATAAGCAAATATTCGGTAATACTTTACCCCTTTTGATAAGATTATCCACGGTGAGGATCTTTTCTTGCACAGCCACCCATAGAAAAGCTTGGACTTTCAACGGTGTAGGCCATTTCCAAATGCAAGCAATTTCAGGCAATGACCACCTCCAACGGTCATGAAAGAGTAAGTGATACATTAACTTCACCAAATATTGACCATGTAACTCAATCTCCCAGATAACTATATCTGAAGCCTTTTGCGGCACTTAAACTTCATGCAAAAGTGATAAAAAACTTATATATTCATGAAAAAGCTGCTCAGAAATCCTATTATAAGGAAGAGAGACATTCCATATGATCTGATTATCCCTTATTTCAAAGATCTCAACAACTGTCACATAGGGATTCTCCACTCTCTGGAAGACCGTATGGAAGAGGAATTTCAAAGGTGAAATGCCCAACCATTTATGATGCTAAAAGGAGATGTTGCATCCATCACCCAAATTCCATCGATTGTCCCTATGGATCAAGGGTTTGCAAACATTAATGGATTTCCAACAATATGACATCCCCCTCGTACCATTCCTCAGTCCAAACCACATACTTCACAGCAATCACTTGCTACCACAACTGATCTTTGAAGTTTAGGCTTCTCCACCTGTAAGACATGATTAACAATTCGCATTTTCCTAATACCCAAACCTCCTTCCCTCCTTGGCGTACATACCATGTTCCACCGGATAAGATGGTACTTCTTGAAATTATCAATGAACCCCCAAAGGAAATTTGTCATAAGAGTTTCAATTGTTTTTTGCAACCCGAGGGGGAATCTGCAGTAAAGACAATTGATAAATAAGTAAATTTGACAAGCAAGCATTCACCAGTGTGATCCTTCCTCCCAAAGGCAAATATTTATATTTCCACAAATCAAACTTTACTTGTATTCTTTGGATCACTTTATTCTAGACAGTCATAGGAAGTCGACCATCTGAAATTGGCAATCCTAAGTTTACAATTGGGAAGGTCTCCACCTTATAACCCATAATCTCTGCAAACTCATGCAGCACAAAATCATTACAGTTCATGTCAACTATTGCATATTTTGCAAAGTTAACCTTGAGGCCCAAAGCCACTTCACTGCACTGCAAAAAAGTGGCAATATTAGCAACCTGAACATGCTTGGCCTCACAAAAAAACAGAGTATCATATGCATATTGAAAGTGCGATATACAAGAACCACCATTAGGCATTTAGAAACCCAAAAAATGTCCTTTGGCCCCTACATTACGTAAAAAGAGACTGAAGCACTCTGCATAAATGGCGAACAAGAAAGGGGGCAAAGGTTCCCCCTAAAAAAGCCCCTAAAGGCAAGAAAAAAAACCAGTAGGACTACCCTTAAACAAACGCGTATTTAGGAAGATTGTTTTAGTCTAAAATTTTGATAACCATAGATGAGTTACTAGATTATTTTCAAAAGATGGAAATTGAATTTTGAGTTTTGTGAGACTTAGATCTAGCCCTTCAAAAATTGGACAGTCTCTATTCAATCTTGAAATATTATTTTTTTTATAGTACATAGAGAGTTTATTTTGGATTTTTTTCACCGAGATTAGTTTATGGGTCTTAAAAATATTCCTAGAATGTGTTTTTTTTTTTAATAGAAAGTATTCCTAGCATGTGCTATACCTGAGAGAGTATATAGATAGAGTATACTCCTGTGGGAGTCGGAAATCTTGAGGCTTTGGATAGCCATTGATTTTGAAACTGTTAAATGAGTGATAGCTTGCTGGAAACAAGTAGAAAAACATGCCCGAACCAGAGAAGAATTTGATTAGATTCGTGGAGATCTCTCTCTCTCTCTCCTGCGAGAATTAGATTAAACCCGTGATCATTATCATCTCTCTATCTCTACATTTGGAGCATGAGTGCATATACTATGCTCCTGCCGGTGCCCAAATTTGTCCAATTTCAGGATCTACTTCAGAATATCCATGGAGCAATTTCATTAGAAAAAACAAAAAAAGGTTGAGATGTCTCAGTGATTGATCACATAACTTTAACTGTGAGGAAATGGGAAAGTTCGTATTGAATCCGATGGCATTACTGTATAGTCAAAATTCTTTGTTTTTCATATTTTGTTTTTTGTTGGTAGTTGGGCTGGGTAAATAATGCAACAAGAATGTTAGGTCCTAAAGTTATTTTTAGGTGGTTTTACTTAAGGGAGCATATATACAATTTGCTCCTGCGAGAGCATATAATCTTATTTATTGAATA